TTATTTCTTCTTCTTTTTTTGTCTTATTTTCATTACAATGAAAAAAACATTCACTTGCTTTGATGCTCCGATTTCAATACTCACCTCAATCAGTTTTCGTTCTAATATTTTCCTTTCTAATATATCCTTTAAAAAAGGATATCGATTTCTTTTCATCTAGTATTTTTCACAAGATAAGAAATCTACATTCAATATAGAAATTTTAAATTAAATAAATATCTTTTCTGACCAAGCCAATCATTTAATTAAAAGACATATTTTTTAAATACATATAAGAATAAAATACTCCAATTCGAATCTGTAATTTAATAATATATTTATGAAATATCTAGATGCACTAAAAATATTTTGTATTTATTTTCCATTATATATACTAATATTTAAAATATTTCTTACTAATTTGTTTTTCCTGATTTGTTCAGCTAGAAAAAGTAATTATTACATGAAAATATTTGCCTAACTTAGTATATAGTGTTGTCAATATACAAATGGAAAGTATTTAACATCGAATATAGAACATAACTACTCGCAACTTAATACTTATTGTTATTTCTGTTTTTATCACTTGATAATGTATAAAAATATTTAACTTAAATACACATTGTAATTTAATTTATAATAATAGATTCTTAAATTGCACTTTTACAATCGAAATATTACTTAGAAAATATTGTCTAATATACGGATCGAAATTTATTACAAAATATTGAGAATTACACTTTTACAAATCGTAGCAGGTCATATATTGAATAAAAGTCAAGTTTTATGAAGCTTTGGCATTTAAAAATTTTAAATGTTATCATTAAATAAAGGCTTCAAATTAATAATTTTAATTATAGAATTAAATTTAATTACGAAAATATTGCAAGACATTTAATGGTTTAATATATAATTTCATGTATATTATAGATATTTATAAATTATATTAATTTCGAATAAATATTACTAATATATTTACTTGAGTAACAGAACAGTACTGTAGAATCTAACATAATAAAGAAAAATATTAAAAAAATTGAAATTTTAAAGCTCGTTAGAATTATTGCATATCTTGTTAGATATATCAGCATTATTTATTAACTTTGCCGATAACTTCAATAAAAGATGTGAAAGTAATATGTGATAGTAATATGACTGTTACAAAATATTACAGTTTCTAACATGAAATACTAAATTGAGTTTACTCTTTATTTATATGTAAATAAATTTTTAACATAATTTTTCTGGAGTTATTTTTATATACAAATAATGTTCAAAAATTAATTCCACTAATCTGGTTCGTGAACCAAACGTGTAGAATTAACTAAAAAACCACTAGATGTTGTGTGGGAGAATATGTGGGCAAGTGGAAAGGTTAATGCACTGATTCAATAATTAACACACATAATTCTTACTGCTATTTATTCCATTTATTTTCAATTTATTTCCAAGTCGGGATGATTAATCGTGATGATATTACAAATGATCTTTATGTTTCTCAATAATCATGTGGCGTTGTGATAAACTTTTATTGGAGAACTGGAGGATGATCAATTCCTTATTCTCTGGATGTAACTGGTGATATTATGATTTACTGTAAAAAGAGATAGATTATAATCTATTCATATTATCACTTGAGAGGTTATGATCGTTTGTTGTTCTCTGACCGAACACTACAATTCTTGTTTGTGTCGTAACTTGTTGCAGTTGCCTCTGAATAATGGTCCGTGTGAGTGAGCACGTGCCTAAAATAGAGGGTCGAGGAAATGTGTGCCACTGTATGGCGCGAATTGCTGGTCTTGCGTAGTGAGTATGCGCGGGAAGCTTCTATGGTCGGACAACTTGCTGTCCGTTTTCAAAGTAAAACCGTTAGATGAAAAATCAGCACTTACTTGAAGTTGTTAGTGTGATGCTCCCAGTACCTTCTCACAGGCTTGATGAGAAATTCCCTTCCAATAATTGCTGCTCTTAACTTCTTTCTTATCCCCTTTGCTAACAAGAATCTCAGTGCATATGCTATCAGAGCTTGATGAGACTAGAGTTAACTGGATATTGAATCACAGTCGTAGAAAGATAGTTTACAGGACTCAGCTGACCGAATTTTTCTCTGGTCCATTCAATAAGAATAAGAAATAAGAATAAGTGGTGGTACATTGCATTGTCCTTCTTAAATAGTTCACTGACCCATTTCTACTTGGGACCCCTTCTTCTTTCTTGTGTCCAATCAAAGTGCGACTCTGGGCGGCATGATTAATTATGCACGCCTTCATTTCCACTTCCTTCCGGGCTCAGTCCCGAATATGCTAGTCGGGAAAGTGTCGGAAAGGGGGGAGCTTTTACTATTGGTCGCCTCTCCTTTCTCTGGGACTTGGCTAGATGAAGAGTCCTCTAGGGCGTGGTCGGTTGGCTAGGGACGACCGACAAGATTTGACGTAGTTAAGAACAATGTACGCATTGTCTTAAGATGCCGAGTGCGCACGTACGTCTATTGCTTGTAGTCGCACGTGCGGGGTTTTGGGTTGCAGCGAAATTTTATTAAATGTTTGTTCCTTATAATTTACGTATATCTGATACTCTTTCAGAATCTACGTCTTCTTGGCAGTAAACAACAAAATAGTTTAACTGCACCGAAAAATCATGAGCACTTTTTGAGATAAGCGAGAATAAATAAGCTAACTATTCACGGGTGTTTTCCAGATGTACTGACCGTTTCGAATGTCCAACGACCGTGGGAAGTCGAGGCAAAAACTTTTTTCGCAATCTCGAACAAATAGTAAAAATAATTATTTTAATAAATTAAACTTATTTATTGCACATTTAACAAATAGATTGTGTACTATCATGTTATTATTTGTTTGCAAATTTTCAACAAAATTTTGTATTATTATTAAGACATACTAAATAAATAAAAATAAAATGTCATTATTATTATATTTATTTTTAATAATACATAAAAATTAACTAATTTTTTCTAATAGTATATTTATATATACATATATATCCGTATGCATTTTCCAAATTCTCCATATTTTCCACTATCTATATGTCAACGTTGTCATCACTTGAGTTTTCACTTACTTTGCTCGTTTTGTATATTACATTCTTGTGATTGTGACACAGAAGATCTTGACATTCTTTTTTCTAGTAGAATTATTTATTTAGAAATAAATTCATATTATTATGTGAGAGACATTTCAACTGTCTTGAGACATTATGAAACACTAGAAATTCACGTGGAGTTCTAAAACAAATAATCATCATGATTGTTTTCACGCGAGTCATAATGTATCGTATTGCACTTTTATCAATATCATTGACCATTTAATTTCGTCCGAAATCAAGAACAACATTCGGGTCCTATAAAATTTGATCAATATATGTTAATTGACGATTATTGTAATATATATTTGTTTATAATTATTATATAATTATAATTATTATAATTATTATTATAATATATTTGCAATATAGGTGATACTGTGAGGAATATAAGGCAAATTTCACCATCATGGTAAATATTGAGCAGATGATCAATATTTCGATTAAGGAAGTTCCATTGACAATCGTCTCACTATGATTAAATAATTTTGTTCGTTATTATTCAAAAAAATAATATAATGATTAGATATTTATTAAAATTTCTGTATATTCTGTATTTCATTAATAATGGTTGAGAATATGTATAATACTCTAGAAGATACTAATAATTTGATAAAACGCGTTTTTCTTTAGCTTTCGTTACTTTTGAGAGTATATCAGATGAAAAATAATTTAAATTAAACAAAAATAATTATCAATTAATGATCCAAAAAAATTGCTCGAAAAGTATTACATTAGCATTTCATGAAATATCTGCAATTCATTTATAAAGAAATTAGCTAATATTACTTAAAAAATTACAATTTATATTGTTTGTAAGTTATTCTTCAAATTAAAATTTAATGAAATTCTAAATTGGCTCAAATATATTATATTAAAATAAATATTTTCTAAGCAACGTGAAAAGAAAAATAATGATTATATTAATGTACTAATTATCACTTTTATGTCTGATCACTAATTTGCGATATATTCAACACGAACACATATTTGACAAATTTTACTATTCTTGTCTATCTCAGATATTTAAACCCGTAATATCACATATTTTCTAAACAACGAATATTGGTATTTTTCTAGCAAATAATCATTATTAAACTAAGACATTTTCCCAATTAGGAAAGATCTTTAACTACCCATTGTTTAATTATACTTGAATTTGAAAAAGTGGCAATTTACTACAATATATGCGAAGCTATTCGTTATACATCCATGTGAGTGTATATCATACACCTATTTATTAAACATCATTAATTTGTATATAATTTATAATTTTGAAAGTAAGAATTAGTTAAAAACATCTTATATTTTCTCAAAAATAATAATACTGTAATGTTAAAATTGAAAAAATGGTTGTCTAAAAATATTTACTTCTATTAGATAGATAATAAAGTGGGTTTAAAAATATGCAAAAAGTTAAAAATAATATAATTTACCGATAATTAATAATAAATAATATATCTAAGTTTTCCAATTTTTATACGATTTTTTCAAAAATAAATTTTTACGTTTATGAGTAGGGGTTTATTATAATACTTTATTAAAACATAAAAATCACGGCCTTTTATTTTGAAATTTTATTTATGTTAATTTTTAGTTTTACCTATAAAATACTGTATTATTTAATAAAAATACATCAAATTTCACATATATGCGATTACCATTTTTTAAAATATTCTAATAAGGTAAAATTATTTACCGCATCAATAATAACCAGTGATGAAATGCTTCGTTATTAAAATCGTTGCTTCTGCAAAATCGTAATTACAATTTGCCGCATAAGTCGATCAATTCTTCTAATAATATTAACATTCCAGTTGCTGTTTAACTATCGAGTTTACTTATGCGTAGCCGAGATGGAATGTCGAGGTGCTTTAGCAATGCTGACCGGTGTAGTGATCCTGATAATGCTGACGAGACGGGCAGACGCGATGCTGCCGGCTCAATGCAACCCAGGATTCCTGGACGAAGTACCCCCAAGGATCCGTAAAGTTTGTGCCGCCCTTTCCACGATCAATGAGCTTGGATCCGCTATGGAGAATTATATCTATGACAGAGGTATGTGGTTAAACGTTCGACAATCTATAGAAAAAGTCATAGTTTATAATATTTTCCCGTCAAGGTTTGCATTTAATTGCATTTTTCTAACGAATCTTTGGCTTCGTTATTGTAAATAATGACGTAAAAGCCACGACATTGTAAAACTTTCAAAATTCATTATTAATAAAAATGTTGATATTTCGTCAATATATCTTTAATAAATAATTCGTTCGTTAGGCATTTAATAAAATGAATTTAATATTTACATACATAGATATATTTTTTATTTAATTTAAACATTTATCAATTTCTAAAAGAATGTATTTTTAATATTTATAACATTGTTTGTAATTTATAATAATGTTAATATTTTCTAATGAAGTTAATTGCAATACAAAATTTGTAACCAAAAATAATTGTTCGAATACTTAACTAGATAGATATACACTTTTTCAATCATGAATGTTTTATGTAAGTGCTGAGGTTTTTAACACGCAGCTTGACCTATCAATTTTAATAAAAACTTAAAAAGCAAAAAGAAAAAAAAACATGTTAAGGCTAAGTCAACCGAAGAATTAGAAAAGTTTCGTTTTACCACAGGATGTCATGATATATTTGAGAAGCCCTTGTCGCCGGAGATCGAGGGAAAACTTCGTTAGGTCGCGACTTCACAATTAATTGCTCAATAAGTATGGTCTTGGTTATAAGAAACTTCTAGTATTTGATGGCAAATTACAAACATAAGACATAAAAATAAGAAACTACACAGTGACTACATGGTACATTCTATTCTCGCGTTTATAAATTAATTGCATGTTTCAAAATCAAATATTTTCTACGACGATGACAATGCCATATAGTTTAACGTCGACACTACCTCTTAGTGAATAAAAAATAAGAAATTCTTACAAAATTATTTAAAACTAAATGAAAACATTAATTATAAAATGGGTAGCTGTAAAAATTACTTATAAGCCTATATTACAGTCATTAGAACTAGAAATTTGTCCACAATAATATAGTATCAATTACTATTATATAATCTAATATATTCATTAATAATCTATGTTTTGTAAGTTATGTAATCTTGCCGAAACTTACTTTATTTAACTTTAATTAAATTGGAACTTTTTTCGAAGAATTATCAATAAAAAAAATATCAACACTATATTCGAAGCATTCGCTAATAATGAATTAAATATACGCAGCATTAAAAAAATATATTTTAATACCACTAAAAATAACTTAAAACACTTTAACTCTACATTGACAACAAATTAATCACTAATAACCAAGGTAAATCAAGAAAAAAATTCAAAAACAAGAATAACCAGAAAATATAATCAATCTTAATTAATAATTAAAATATTCATCCAGTTCAGTCCATTTAAGTCCATAGTTGTGAAATATTATTGTATTCTCTATTGTATTTATGTAAAAATTACAAAACTTTTTCTCGATGTCGATGGTATTAACAGCAAAACAACTACACTCTATCTACTATATAAAAGCAATGACTAGTTTACGTAGTTCCAGTACTGAACGATGGTATTTCCCTGATGGACAGTGGCATCAAGCGTAAGGACGTTGATCACGTGTTCCTGCGTTTCGGCAGACGTCGTTAATCACCAGCTATTGGTCTCTGCAATACCATATTCTTCATCGGAAATGGAAACGAGTCAGTTATTGAAGCTCATCTTAGCGGTAACGTCCGCATTCTAATTATCGACGTGTAATCAAAAACTAAAAAAGTAAAAAAGAACACGCAGATGCGACCGACATGCAGAATTAAAAGAATCAATCCAATAAAGCATATGATTAGTCGGTCGTATATTAGGATTAAATAATAACTGGATAATTAATGATATTAAATTAAAACTGTAAGTATTCGATTTAAATCCAGAATGCGAGCTAAGCTTTCTTTTTTATGGACTTTCGATGTATTTTCTTGGCAGGATATTATAATTAATTACGGCTTAAACATTTTTAATCGGATGATAAATTATGATAAATTTTATTGAAAAACCATTAAAAATAAAATAAATGAAATAGATGTATTTAATTCTAGTATTGGGGGGAAAATATTATATGAGCGGTAACAAAAGTCTGATTAGATTTAATATGCTTGATTAGTAGAAGCTTGGCTAATTGTCAATATTCGTTGATTGTACTAATTACTTTGCAGTCAAGTAATATTTTGTATTTATCCTGACACGGCATATTAACTTATTCCTCGTAAATTAAAGATTCTGGATTTAAATGTTCCATTCGTGTTAATACAAGAAAATACAGCAAACAATGAAGAAAACATTAATCTTAGTAACTGTATTATCGAAAGTAATAAACTATTACAGCTAAACAATCGATCCAGTGTGATTTATAGTAAGATAAAATTATACTTTATCGATTACAGTCGCTCACGAATGTTGGATTATGTTTTATAAGGTTTGCATACCTACTTATTTTTTACAAATTAATTTATATATTATAATCCTTCATAATTACCCATCAATTATTATATAAAATTATTATATATGTAAAAGTATACTGAAAAAAAATTTGAATAAAATTCAGAACTCTAACAAACTTAACTGTAAAGTCAATATCGTATTTCCTTTGTCAATTTACGTATATTAACTTACAGGGATTTATTGTAACAACTTAATAATTGCGAAATATTAAAAAAATAATATCAAAAATCGTATGAAAAGGATTATAATTTTCTATCATGTTCTATTTATATTTCTATATATATACATATGATATAAAAATTAATGAAATAAGTAGATGTACGGTGTAAGAATAATCAGAAAAAAAGATAAATAAAAAAAAACGATGGAAACACGTAAATATTGATATCCTTCCAAATGCTTGCCTCTTCGATATTGCCATTATTAAAAGTTGCGATGAATAAAAAATGTGCAGAAATACCTTATGAGAATAATTATATATTTATTATGCAATATGTATAGATATGTATGTATATAAAGTTTCTCTTTGAAAATCCTACAAATGCGTAATTTTCTTATTTATCCTTAATTTTCAGAATCGTGTTTCAGATTCTTAAAAATATATATAAATAAAATTAAATATAAATTATGATATTATATGATTATATCGTTATATTCCTTTCATATTTCATTCTGAAATATCTTAACCTACCTTTGACGTTATCTAATTTATAGTAAATTTTTTATTTATTCATATTTATTAAAAAAAGTTATATTTTCTTTTCTTTGAATAACATTGATTACAATAGTTATATATATCTTTATAAATAACTAATTTATTAATATATATAATTCTAATTTTATTGAGCATTATTATTTAAAATGAAAAAATGTTAAAAACTTTTCTAATTGCTTAAACCGAGACCAGTCGATAATGTTAAGTGAAGTGAATAGGAATGTAATAAAAGATGTAGAAATGTAATGTAATATATCATATAAGTCATTACATATTAATAATTGTTAACAATTACTGATCAAAATATTTATTATGTTAATTAAATCCATTCGTTGTAAATTATAATGTAATTTTCTTTAATCATATATTAATTAACTAATAAATAAAAAAAATGATTTTCATTATAAAACCCTCTATTTACAATGATTGTATACGTATTTATACAAAGTATAACATTTTATACATAAAGTGTAAAACCTTATGTTTTACATTAGGTTGTAAAACTGACTCGTTTTATTAAAAAAAATAATTAAGTTTCCTGGGTAACAAAATATCACAATTTAATATATTAAATACTAAAGTAGTTGATTATTAAAAATCTTTTATTATTATGGAAGAATTTGTGGATTCTCAAATAATTCACACAAGATTTAATAATTTTTGCATTTTTGTTCATTGTATAATAAAATTGGTAAGAATGCTTTTAATTTATATAGAGATTAATTTTTTTTAAATGTTTTAATTTGAAAAACTTTTTAAATATGTATCGAACTAGAAAACGATATTTTTTTATTATGTATTTCTAAATACTAAAAAAATTAAATTCGTTAAAAAATAAAATCTACAAGAATCGTAAAGTGTTCATTGACATACAGAATAAGATTTAGTTAAAAACCACGATGGATTTACAGCTGTTTCCATTTCCCTTGGACTTTACCTTATATTTATACATATACAGCATATTTTGCAGCATCACAGTAGATACTGATCCTTTGGTTATGCTTAGACAATAAATATATATATACGGTACATTATAGATTTTACTGGCAATTTTCATCCATCAGAATCTGCTTAAAAATGTGGTTTATGATGAGATATAATTTTTTTTTTTTTTTTTTTGAGTACATTGATTATAAATAAATTTTGATGCGAAAATGATCACAATAATAAAAAAAAAATTTCGACGATAATGGAAACCTAACATAATTTAATATAATAAATTTTTTCATTTATTGGTTAATAATAAAAATTTATGATAATTTTATGGAAATTTTGTACATCAATTAATTTATGTAAAATATAAATCATATAATATTATTATATGATAATAATATTTAAAACTTATTTGTTTATATTTTATTTTTGTAAGAATACTAGAAATTTAATTTTTGATATTCCTTATTTAACTACGAATATGAAATGTTTCAATTCTTACAATTCAAAGTAAAAAGGTATAAATAAAAAATATATAATAATAATATAGTTTAAATTGTAATACGCTTATATTGATGTTTTACTTTGGTGGTGACTGTTGTTTATTAAAGAACTAAAATTCGTATCTTTATCATTAATTAATCTAAAACATTTATATAATTTTCATAGAAAAAATATTTTGGAAATATGAATTTTGTACAAATGTCAAATTGTGTGAGAAACAAGTGTTTCCAATAATTATATGAGTGACAGATTGGCAATTCACATAAAATAATTTGTTTAATACTTCAAGTATATTCGCACTTATTAGCAATATTTTCTGATAATTAGATTGCAATGTGACACGCTCCCCAACAATTAATCAAATGAAATTAATATGCAATCATCACGTCACGAAATTTATAATCGAGGATAATTCAAAACAATGTATTTATCATTTAACATTGGATATTGCGTTTATTGTTTGTTCTATTTCGTAGACACAGATCAACCGTACACACTGATTTATATCGATAGAAATTTATTTTCTCCTTAATTAATTAATGTAATAGCACATATGAATATTTTGATAATAAAAATTATACTGCTTATTACACACTAAGTAGTTATAAAAATTTTGAATTATATAATTAGTGTATATTTGATATAATATATAAATGTAACAAAATAATAAATTAATAATCTAAAAAATTGAATTTTTAATTTATTTTCTATTTGTAACTAGGTAATTAAATCTTTATAAATATAATAATATAACAATACCAAAACGTAACAAATGTTATATATAGACAACATTGATTTATTTATATAAAATTAATTTTAATTTTTAATTCATTTTAAATGCGGATATGCAATATTTCTTAGTAGTAATTCGCCTATTAAAGAAAAATTAATTTGCATTTAAATAAACGAATGAGCATATGATTGATATTTAAAATTATAATACAATATTAATTTAAATTATCTTAATAATATTTTCACATAGAATTTGATTGTGTTCTAGGTTTATATATTTCAATAATATATTTTTTATTATTATTTTATATTAAATTTTATATTAAATTTTTTTAGAATTTTTAGAAATTTTAGTATTTTTTAGAATTTAGAATTTTTTTTTAGATCTAAATTTTGATTTTTTTATTATTTATTATTATTATTATTATTAAATAAATTTTAAAAAAATTTGAAAATCTAAATTTTAGAAATTAGAAATTTTTAGAAATTAATATAATAAATTTTATATTAAAATAAAAGCTTCAAAGCTTTTCTAAAATTAATCTTTAAATACAGGATGATATAAAGATACAATCAATGTTATTGAAGATAAAATGACATTTTTAAGCTAAATCACTCTGTCTTCTTATAGATTAATTTATGACATTAAAAATCGAATTGTATATACAATGTAAATGATTTTGCAACAACATAAATTATGCCCCGAAGTTACAATAATAATAAAAGATAGTCTCCATTTCGTATGTCGATAACATCAAGCCCGCACATGCTCCCTTGTAATCTATAGGTTGTTCTTTTTTATTGTTTCTCATCTTTCTGAAAACTCAATTACATTTTGCGGTGTTTACACATATTTTTTGAACATATGATAATTTGTTAAAACGATTTGCTTCGATAGGGCATTAAATTAATTAATTTTAAGTCATTTAGGAAAGTTTTTATTGCACATATATTTTAAATTCTTCTATAAATATTGCGTTAATTATAATTTTTAACTAATCTACGGATTTTAATAAATCTTCAATTTATAATTTTGAAGTTTTTTATTATATGCATAATTTTTAAGAAATTTGTAGATATCTTTAAGTATTTTGTTTATTACTTATTCTTTCTCGGTCTCTTTCATACCTATTGTCTTTAATGTTGGAAAACTTTTTATCTACTTTTTCAACATTATTATTGATTCCCAGCGTTTCTTCTCATTTCTCCATCTTAACGCTATATGTTGACATTTCTCATTTTGTCTTTAATACTATAATTTCCATTATTTCTATTTCCGTGCTTTTATGATTAGCGCTTCAAAATTAACCGATTATCTTTAAAAGTAAGAGTCCATTTTAAAGTTTCTATTTTTTAACATTACATGATAGCATTAAATGTATTTTTCTTAATTTCGAGTTATTTTTTAAAAA